CTCCGTGTAATCTTTCTGTGTGGCCCATTTATTCTATATGGTATATGTATTCATTTTCCAGAGAAAAATAAACCTTATAATAAAATTTTTAAGAGCTGGATATGGTGGTGCACACCTTTAATCCCAGCACTTGGAAGGCAGAGGCAGGGAATCTCTGTGAGATCAAGGCCAGCCTGGTCTACATAGTGAGTTCTAGACCAGCTGGGGCTACAGGGAGACCCTGTCTCAAAGCAGCAACAACAACCAAAACTTGTGAGAGGCCTGCCTTGCTTTCCAAAGTACTGTTCATATCAACTGGTACAAATGTTTCTAGACAGACTCAAAGGAACACAAAGAAGTAGCAGTGCAATGCCATTAAAATGAAGTAAGGGGTCTGGGGTGTTATTAGTGGTAGAGTACTCGCCTTCCATGTGTAAGACCCTAGGTTTGACTGCCAGCACCACAAGGAGGAAAAGAGGGAGGTGAAAGGGGGCGAGGAAGGGGAAAATGCAGAGTAAAAGTCATTAAAGCAAACATGAAAAAGAGCAAATGTTTTCAGCAGAATGAAATGTTGGTGTTGTCGTCCTCTAGGCCATGACCATGAGGCCAGGCTGTGTGATCTCACCACCATTTCTCAGTCGCTCCACCCACTTGCCCTGTCTACTCTTAATACTTGGGGAACTGCTACCAAAAGGCACATAGCAAAGGGTAAGAGGAACCATGGGAAGCACACACTTGCTCTGAAGAATGTTCCATCCACCCGGTGATCTGGAACTCCTTGGTCTTTTAGAATAGAATATTTGGTTCACAGCTAGCACTTGGCCCCTAAATGTCATGGGCTCCTTGTAAGAGCAAAGCCTTGAGCTGGAAAACATCTAAATCACATGTGTTCACTAACCCAACCTAGGCAGCTAAGTACAGTGCCATCAGCTGTAAACTGGGACTCTGGAAGCCATGGTGCTGTTTTAAAGCTCAAGGGTGAAGACCAGCTTTCATGTCCTGGAGTCTCAAGGAGAACCAAACAATATTTATTCCTGTTGGGCTCCATGATTTCATTTCAGTCTGGCAGTGTTTCTCATGGAATCTCATTTTAATTGCATAATTTGGGGCATTTTCCCACTTTCTCTCTAGGACATCTTGCAGCTCCCTTTCCCCACCTTCAAGCCTGTTGCTCTGCCAATTTATTAGTGTTCGCTACTGGGTAAGGTACCTTTCTGAAAGATAAATGAATTCCATTCTGTCTTTAAATATTTATGTTTCTTTATGATCTAATATATCATCATGGTTATGGGGAAATTTTTTTCTCATAACTATAGAAAATAAACCATCAGTTACCTGTCAATTTTGTTTAATAACTAAGCTTTGCAATTCTAGTGCACCGTTCATCTGAAGCTCTTGAGAACTCTTTTAGTCTCTCCGTTCAGTTCAGAGTGTCATTTGGAGATTTATAAAGGTCTTCAGTGCACAGAAGACATTGAAACATTAAGCACTTAAATGCCATGCCTCTCATCACTTATTACACTGGAAGATCCAGGACCAGAGATCTAGGCATCTTTGTCTTGTTTGCTCCCAGCATGAAACAACAGTGTCTGTAGAAAACCAGCCAGTATCCCTGGAGACAATTCATCAGAATTTTCAAAAGAAATCCAATTTTACCTGGGTTGATGGACTCAGTATTGCTTCTTAAGATAAATGATGAAAATATCGATATCATAATGCAAAGAACTCCAATTCTTTTGGCTTAATCTCAGTGAGAAGTATCACAAGCCATTTACTTTCTATAATCTTCCCTGCTTTTAAGTCCTGGGCAGGAACTGAGAAGGCTTCAGTAGCTATTTTCCTCCCAAAGATTCTGGCTCGGAACCTTTCACAGTCACAGTGTCTGGGTATGGGGCCTCCACACTGTGTCTGCTTACTACTTCCCCAGGTGGTACTGAGTGAAGTGCTGTGAATTTAGAAACTACTGGGCTAGAAACTTCAGCATTCAAGTTCTTTCTAGCTTTTAAAGAATCATGTGCCTCATATTCTAACTTCATCCGTAAGTCTAAACTTATACATATCTTCCTGAACAATATTTAAAATGTACGTTTTAGAAAGTTTCTCAAAAAGGCAGCTTTCTGTCTCACCTGTGCATCTAAGAGAAACAGAATTTTGTGATACAGGTCCTTATTCTTAAAACAAGGAGCAGTGTCAGGGAGAAAGCCGTTATATGTCAGGGAACATGTGGCACCATACATAGGACAGATGGTGTATCTTCCTACAGTATAATTTTTTCTTTAAGATAATTTTTTTATTATAACAGATACATTGAGGAATGTAATGCAAAAGGTCATATGGCTTTTGTGCTAAACATGCAACTTCAAAAGGTTTCCTGATTATAGATGACACTGGTTTTCCAGAATCCTGGCAGTTGATTCATTCTTCTCTTCTATCAGAAGTTCTTCTGTCCACATTCAAGAATACCTTGACCAGTGGTTCCTAAATATCTGGTTCTGTATTCATTACTTTTCTCATTGCTGTGACCAAATATCAACAAAAACAGCTTAATAGGGGAAGAATCTATTTTGGCTCACAATCTTAAGGGGATACAACCCACCACAGTCTGGGAGGCGTGGCTGTTCACTCTGGGGTGATGAGAGCTTACAACTGCCACTTCTTCACATCTCCCTAGATCAGGAAGCAGAGCGCCTTGGGAGGAAGCAAATCCAGACTATAGCTCTCAAAGGCCCACTACTAGTGGCCTACATCCCCCAGCTAGTCCCTATTGCTCAAAGGTCCCACAACCTACCAAAACAATGCCACCAGTTGCAGGTAAAGTGCTCAAACATACAAGCCTGTGGGAACACGTCATACTCAAACTGTAACAGGTCTCGTGAGGCTCAAATAAGCACTCATCTGAAACCACAACAGAAAACTAGCCTCACTAGGATCCTCAACATGACAGTGCTGAACAGTCTCCTCCCAGAATACTCATGAAGTTTCCCATCTAAAACAAGCAGGTTCATTCCTCCCCCATTTAAATAATATTCAAAGCAGTATCATTTCTCCCAATTATTATGATATGAATTAGAACAGAGACAATTGAACCCCTCTTGATCACATTCCCATTGTAACAGCCATTTTTGAAATATCCTTGGAATTATAAAAGACCCTGAAATGTATTTCCATATCCCAAGGATTGCTTCTTTCTTCCATAAGATGTTAAGTTGTTGTTTGATTTTCCCAAGATGTTCTTGATGAAGAACAAAGAAACCCAAGGGTCTGAGTCCAATAATGTGGGTTCCAAGCCAGTAATCTCGATCTATAGGATCACATTACTACTCAGTCTCCTCTCAGCTCTGGCCCCTCAATCCTGAGAAAGTTTCCATGGCAGGAAGAAAGGACAGGAATCATACCTGAGAAAGCCCTGCTGTCCCTTTGTTAACAGGCTGCGGTAGCAAAGCTGACTCGAAGCCTGTGCAGAACTCCTCCTGGTGGGTAATTTGGAATGCTGTGCAAGTCCTGACAGAGTGCAGATGACTTGTAGAGGTTTGGAGTGGTAACACTCGTTTTCAGAACAGCCCTCTCCCCTTTTCAACTCTCGCCTTCATCATCTCTCTACATTGAAGGTTCAGTCTAGTGCACATGGATCTCTATGGCCAGGTATTATTCTCCACTGCCCAGCTATGGGCTTCATAGTCAAATAGCTCTTGATTTCCCCCTTTCTTTTTGCTAGACTTATAATTGCCCCCCTCTGTATTAGTTACTTTCTGTTGCTGTGATAAAATACCATGGCCAGAAGCAACTTAAGGAAAGAAGAGTTCATTTTGGCTTACATTTCCAGAGAGATAAGAGTCCACCCTGGTAGGAAGGCACGGCAGTAAGTGGCAGGCATGGCAACAGCAGCCAGAAGCTGAGAGCTCACATCTTCAGCCACAGACAGGAAGCAGAGAGAGCGTACTGGAAGCCGGGTGAGGCAATGAATTCTCAAAGCCCACCCCCAATGACATACTTCCTCCAGTGAGGCCATACCTCCTAAGCCTCCCCAAATAAGGCCACCAACTGGGGATCAAGTGTTCAGATCCCTGAGTCTTTGGGTGACATGCCGCATTCGAACCACCACACCCTCACAGGCCATTCTGTATTCCACTTCACATTTCTCTTCCAGAAGCATGACTCCGAGTGGTGCCTCTATGGGTGGGACAGCCCTCTATTGACTTACCTGGGCCTAACATCATTGCCTGATGTTTAGACCCTACTTCCTGGCATTACCTACCGATTCCCAGAGCTCCCCACTATGCTGCTGTACTCCCCAAGCTGTGCAGTCTGTCTCCCTGTGTCATGCTCTGTTCATCCCTCCATCTAGAAATTCCTGTCCTGGAAACCTTGCCCAGCAAAAGCCAGCCCCACACCTTGGCCCTGCACCCCCTCCATCACAGTGTGATTTCTCCTCCAGCTACTGTCAGTTCACAGCATGGACCGTCCTTGTGCATTGTCTGTGTCTGTTAAGAAACACTATTGGACTTGGGGTCAGAAGCCTGGGATGATATCCTGGCAGTCATCACTCTAACTTTCTTTTAGTTTCTTTATCTGAGGAAAGGGGGTGACATGACATAAAGGTAATCCTTTCTCTGTGTCTGCCTACCTTCCCTGCTTGAAAAAAGAGGCTTGTCATCATATTCTGCTACTGTTACTGTCACTACTTTGCTATCACCTTTATTGTTATAGTTCCAGTAAGAGTTCATCTTTACAAAGCACCACCATTCTAAGTGCTTTATATAATTAATTTAATTCTAATAACCTCGGGAATAGGCACTATTATTTTCACATTTTATGGAGGAAAAAAACATGTATTTCCCAGAGGCTCCAGTACTAAGAGAATGAGTAAATGACTGAACAAGGGGTTTAGTGGGACATAACTTGCTTTCCAGGTGAACAGTAGCTGTGGAATGAGTAAACTAGTTAACACATACACATGCATTCTTCTGTGCAGCCATTTCTGATGGAGGAGACACTGAGCAGGTTCTGTCTTGCTTCCACAGGCAGTACTACGAGATGCTGTACAACACAGCTGATGAGCTGCTGAACCTGGTGGTGGACCAGGGTGTGAAGTACACAGAGCTGGAGTACATCCACGCCCTGACTCTGCTGCATCGCAGTCAGACTGGAGTGGGGGACCAGACCACCCAGAACACCAGGCTACAGCGGCTCAAAGAGATCATCTGTGAGCAAGCTGCCATCAAGCAAGCCACCAAGGACAAGAAAATAACCACCGTCTGATGGGGTGCATCTCAGTGGGGTGTGGGTAGGGGCTCACAGTGCCCTCTGTCATGTGCCCTGAGGCTTTCTTTGGTATGTTACTTGGTGTAGTCTGAGCAGACTTAATTTTGTTGACCCTGATGCTTAGTAGATAGAAAGTGTAAGGATTGTCTCCTCTTTAATTTTGCCTTTTCATATGAACCTGAAAGGAAATTTGCAGTACAGAATGTGTCGCCTGACAATTACTAAAATGCAGTCTATTCCCTAGGGGCTCAGGTGCACTAAGGAAGACGATATGCCAAGTTGCTGGACTCTAAGAAAGGAATGAATGAATAACTAATTAATGCTTTTTTAATGCCCAACATATATAAAATTCCAGCGTTGGAAACCGGAACTTTTAGGAGAGTCCTAAAGCCATGTAATAATGTCTATCGCATAAACAGTAGGGTTTTTACTCTCGACCTTGTCAATTTACAGTCCGATGGAATAAGTGTATGTGCATTGCTTTCTGCCTCTGTTCCCCAAATCAATAAATGGCTTCTCAGCTGGCTGTGACTTTCCCTGCCAAAACAGGAACTTTTCAAGGCTGGAGTGAAAGAAGTCCTTTATCCCATCCTAGGGAGACTTTGCATGCTATAGCTCGTAGCTTGGTTGCTTTTACGACCTCTTTGTTTCATTCTTTCCATATCAAAACCAAGAGTTTTTAGTGACAAAAATGGGAGGGTGAAAGGTGATTCCATCTCCCTTGACTTGGCCCTCTAAATAATGGTTGTAGAACTGAAATTCATTTAGGTGAATTGAGGTGCCCCCATATACCCCCATTCAAGGCTCTGTCATGGTGGAGAAGCCGGGCCGTAGCAGGAACTTGAGGCCACTGGTCATATTGCACCCATATTCCAGCAGCGTAGAGCAATGAAGGCTCACATTCCACCAGCTTTCACCTTTTCATGAGTCTGGAACCCCAGCCCAGCGAATGGTCGCCCCACACTCAGGGTGGGTCTTTCCACCTCAATTAACATTGTCTAAATAATTTCTTACAGACGTGCCCAGAGGCTTGTTCCCTGGGTGATTCTAGAATCTGTCAAGTTAACCATCATGGGCACTTAAGTCTTTGTCACCACAGAAAGTTAGCTCAGGTCTGCCACCTGAGTGTGAGGAAGATGAGGCATCTGTTGCCACCAGCTAAGCCTTTTTCTGAATCACCCTTTTCTGACTGCTTGCAGTGTTCCTGGAATCTAATCACTGTCCCCAGCCCCCAAGTCCTCTTGCTGTTCCTGGTTCATACACCACAGGAGACAGCATGCACTGACAGGGATGCTTCTTAAACACACATGGAAGGAAGAGCCAGAAGGGCTTGGACCATAGAAGATCACACCTCATACCCTGATGGAGGGGCTTTTTACACCTGTTTGTAACAGCTTTGGTCTTCATGGGGATAGCAGAAAATTAAAAACTGTTTTGAGAAGCTTAGATGTTGTTTGTTGTTTTTCTCATATTCTTTATTCAGCAAACATTTCCTGAGAACCTAGTATGTGCCAGTGCTGCCATGCCCGGGCAGGTCCAGAGACAAAGAGGATAGATACCCTTCTTATCTGGAGTGTAGGAGCTAGACTCGAGCCCCAACAAGTTCATACCCAGAAGTGAGCCAGAAATCAGGTCAGCAGTAGGACAGGAGACCAGCAGGCAGCTGCAGGATGGCCTTCCAGAGGCTTCAGGGAGGGAGGAAAGCTAGATAGTTCAGGAACCTGACTGGACAAAATTGAATGCATGCAGGAGACAAACATGGAAGGATACACTGTCCCAAACAAGGTCCTTGGAAGTCTACCCAAGAAGCAAGGGTGGGAAGAGGGTGCCGAGGGTACCAACGGCAACTAGAGTAGGCCACTTTTATTTGGAAGCATCTTTGTAATGGCCATGGCCTCCCAGGTTAGCTTCTAGGTCTTCTTTCCTTCCTGCCCACCCTAGGGGAAGACCCCTGATGCCTATGATGGCTTTCCTGGATATGGGAGGGGACATGAACTTGGTTCAGTGGACTAACAGAAGGACTGAGAACCGGCAGTTTCCTGGCACCACTTGGGAAAGTGGGATCCCTGTTTTGCTTACAAGGATGAGACAGGAAGTGCCAGTTCTACACAGAAAGGAGTCCTAATGATCTTTGTCCAAGAATTCAAGGTACAAAGTCTTTGAAGGGGGTACATTGTTTTTTTTAATTCTCCCAGAGGTCAAAGCCACTGGCAGATTCAGTAGCTGGTTGAATGGATACAGCTGGATGGTACCATTAGAGACACACTGAAAGTTTCTGCAGGAGACAGCCCTACTTTGGGGATGTTTTATGAGAATTTTGTTTTGTTATTCATGATCATGAGTAGAAAGTACTAGAGAGTCCGTCTACTAAGGACAGAGCCCAACATCAACACATCCTGGCATATAACCACAAGAATTAGCATTCTACCATGAAAACCACTCCCTAAAATGTGCTGTTGCAAGTAAAATTTTTTTAATAAAGGTCTCATCAGGAGGGTATCAAAAACATACCATTTTCTTTTAAACATGGGACCAACAAGATGGACATATGACTGTCCACATGGCCACAGTTCCACTTCTGCACACTCCTCCAACATGGAGCAGAAATATTTTTTTAAACAAATAACAAATGCTGGTGAGGTTGTGCACCAAAGGGAACTCTTACACACTGCTAGAAAGAATTTTAATTCAGCCACTATGGAAATCAATTTGGAGGTTCTTTTAAAAAGTAAAAATAGGGGCTGGAGAGATGACTCAGTGGTTAAGAGCAGTGGCTGCTCTTGCAGAGAACCTGGCTTCAATACTCAGCACCCACATGGTGGCTAACAACCATCTGTAACTCCAATTCAAAAACAATAAATATTTTTAAAAGTAAAAATATATTGGTGAGTCTATTCCCAGGTCCCTTGCCCTGCACCACCTTTATACACCCAGGCCCAACCAGAGCTGTATTCGCATGCTTTCTCCATAAATGTAGGTCTCACCCCTCATCAAAGAAGCTTCTTTCTAGAGCACACAGAGACTTAACTACTACAGAGATCCACAACTTGTCAAAATGCAAAGACTAAATGACCATGGGGTTCCCAGCCCCACTTGGAACATCTACAACACAGCTCCTGCACTTGAGGCTAGGTGACATCTTAGAAGATAGCCAGAGGACCAGGACACCTGCTGAGAGATAGTGTCTTATAGACATACAGGGAGGCTACACCCATAAACTTTGAACAGGATGGTCGTCTGCACAAGACCACATTAATCAACATGCCAGCATGGATGGGGAAAACTTTCACAAGCCCCTCCCCCCAGATGAAGAGCTACAGGCAGTCAGTGGCTACTGAGGGAAGGAGAATCAGTTTTGTCTAGAGATGAGCTCACTAATAAGGTTTCCCAGTCCTCAACACATATACATACATACAAGCAACACTAATTGGACTCAGTAGGTTGATTGTGTGTGACAATAATTATAGAAGGGGTCATGAATTTGAGAGATGGCAGGAAGAAGGACATGGGAGGAGTTAGTGGGGAAGAATAAGGGATGGAAATGATGTAAATACGGTGTACTGAGTGGGGGTGGTGACCACGCCTTTAATCCCAGCACTTGGGAGGCAGAGGCAGGTGGATCTCTGAGTTCTAGGCCACCTGGGGCTATAGGGAGACCCTGTCTCAAAAAAAAAAAACAAAAAGGAAAAGAAATACGATGTACTCAAGTATGAAATTCTCAAAAACTTAAAATTTTAAAAATTTAGGGGCTAGAGAGATGGCTCAGCGGCTCAGTGGTTAAGAGCACTGATGCTCTTTCAGAGGACCCAGGTTCAATCCCAGTACCCATATACCAGCTAACTGTTCATAACTCCCATTTCAGGAGAATCTGACACCTTCTTCTGACCCCCTCGGGCATTGCATGACACAGGTGCACCTACATACATGCAGGTAATATACTCATACACACATACACATAAAATAATCAATACATTTTTTTAAATTTAAGTAAAGCCAGTGGTGGTGGTGGCACACACCGGTAGGATTTGCTGAAGGAGGCAGAGGCAGGAGGATCTGGAGTTCAAGGCTGGCTTGGGCTACACAGTTTGCTGGGTGTGGTGGCACAGGCCTTTAATCCCAGCACTCGGGAGGCAGAGGCAGGCGAGGCAGAGGCAGGCGAATATCTGTGGGGTTAATCAGCCCGGGAAGATTTATCGTCCTCTTTTTTTTTTTTTTTTTTTTTTAAAAAAAAAAAAAAAAAAAAAAAAAAAAAAAATTCAGTAAAAATAGATTTACTGAAACCCAGCACAGAACTGTGGAAATGAACAGCAGGCCCCAATATTACTTCAAGAATCACTGGCAGCTGATTACTGCTGGGAGCAAATGAGCTGATCTTAAAGGGAAGGGCTCTAGATAGACAGACTATATCTCAGTGGATGAACTTGCACTGAGGGACATCTGGGGACACTAACTTTACTTGATAGGCCTTAACACAAATGACAGAAGGTATGAACTCCAGTAGGGGAGTGGGAGGCTGTGGGAGGGTCCCAAAGGGGAAGGCGTTTATAAAGATGATTTTCTGTATGAAATACACAAAAATTCAATAATTTTTTAAAAATATAGATTTACCATATGACTCAACTATAACACTCCTGGGTATTTACCCTATAGACTCCCAAGTCAACATATCACAGAGATATTTGCACACCAGTGTTGACTGCAGCACTGTTCATAATAGATAAATATGGA